GTGGGACATGGGTTGCTGACATGTTTCACCGTATCAACACTTGGTTTGGATGGTGTTGAGGCCAACATTTGGTTTGGATGTGTTGGTTACATCATGGATTATACAGTGGTGTGACTTTGTTTTGGATATGGAATCTGTATACATATGGTATGGATTGTATACATTGGTTATGGATTATTTTATTATCATAAAATATGTATATATTGGCATGGACGTGTATACATTATATTTTGGGTTGGTCTATATTTAGAATGGAAAATGACTTGTTGGTCTGGATAAATACTGTGGATAAATATTTGTTTAATGATATTTTATTATGATATACTATGGTTGGTTTTATATGTGCTAACCCTTGTGTTTCCATGTGGTTTGGACTGTGATGATCTCACTATGTGGGGGAGCAGATCAGGTGTGAGGCCTTGGGATAGCAAGGAGTCTTTTGGGGTAGCTGCTTTGAGAAGTGGCTAGACGTAGAGCTTGACCAGCACCTAGGGTGTCTAACTTATATTTCATGATGTTACTATTGGATTACTGTATAATTTTACCAAGAATGACTCTGATATAATTATGTTTGATATTATGAAATAATTTTTTTCACTCTATCGTAGCTGGCTTTTGCTCTATTTTCTTTATTTTATATTATTTTATTTTGGCTGGTTATTAATGTGACGACCTAGGGTGGGTCGTTACATGAACTCTTCTATCTTGCATGGGAAAAATGTTATTCTTTTAGAAGTACGATATTTTCTCATTATATTATATTAAATAGATTTGGGTAGAAGGGTGTCACATTGAAGACATGATCAAGTATGCTCAAAGTTTTCCATACATTGCACAACTCTTTGAAAGTGAGCAGCTAAACCCTTCTTTGCCTAATTACATGCTCCAAATTATAGTTTTCAATGAGACAAACCTCATGACGATAAAGGATACTTAGCCACACTATTTATTAATCTCGAGCACCTCCCATTATATGCTTGGAGGTTAAGTCTACATTGTCTCAAACATATATCAGTACCAAAATTCATTAATATTTTATCACATTATTAGTGAACTTAAGTATTATTAAATAGATCATAATATTAGTCCATTTTTTACAATATAAAATATCACAATTGATTGCGACCCATATACTTCTCTTTCATATTATGTTCTCTTTGTCTATAATATTTGTTTCTCACTCTCCTTTTTAAATAAATAAACATATTATTTTACATTAATCTACTAGTTTATAAGTTAATCTTACCAAACACTTTCAATTTAATCCGTTAGTATATAAGTTAATTTTACTAAACACACCCAAAAGTTGAGAACTTGTAAGTTAATTGATTGAATTAGAAGTGTTTGATAAGAATAGCTTAAAAAGTTCACTAATTAATGTAAAATAACTTATTTTTTATTTAGTTATTTATTTAATAATGAGAGTGAGAAAATAACATGTTTGACAAAATAATTTCTAGACTAAAATGAGCTAAAAACTAATTCTAAGAAAATTAATAAGAATAAGAAAAGGAGAGAAAGATTAATAAGAACTTATAAACTATAAACTACTTCAATTACTTTGTAAAAATATGATATAAACTCTTTAAATAAACTTGTCAAATATTTTGTTAAACATGCTCTAAATGCTTATATAATAGGTATTCATAAATTTTTTAAATACTCGAACTTTAGTTTATTAGTAGTATTCCTACACTTGAATGGAAACAACCAATTCAAGCAAATAATTGGAGGAAGTTCACTAGTGCAATCTTATCTGTCCAAAGGACAGATTGAAACTGGTGTCAATTAATTAATTATTGCCAAAAAACACGACAAGAGTAAGAATAAAAGAGGTGTGGTGTACTAGACACCACAGCTATTGGTCAAAGAAAAAAAGATAAATAAAAGGGTCACCATAAATATAATTGCTCGTATATCTCAAAAAATTGTTGTACCACTACTTATAATACATCAATGTTACGGACCCTACATGATAAAAGACTCTGGCATTATTACCGGGTGTGCACGTGCGAACTTGCAGTGGCCCCACGTGCATGCTTTAGGCTAGGAACGTACTGCATTATGAAATAAATGCCCATATCTTAATTTAGCCATGGACCCCAAAAAATTATATTAAATAATCGAATCTTGCTGAACGAAGAAGTTTTGGTTAACGAGATACAACACTACCTTTAGTTGAAGGAACAAGGAGAAAGAGATTCATAATAACTAAACCTTTTAAAGACATGAACATGGTTTTCAGCATTTGTGAAATCTTACTTTACTGCCGTATTGTACATTTGTACAGTTGTACTAGCTATTTCTTTTCCCACTTTCTTAATTATAATAAAGGAAGCTCTTATAATTTGCCACTGATTATAAAAATAAAATAAAATAAGTTAAAGAAACATATAACTAAGACATTACACATTGAAATCAAAATAGAACCTTACAAGATAGATGTACTAATCAAGATTGTTCTAATAAATTTTCCAAATATAAATTTACTAAGTATCTTCCTGTGGACAAAACATCAAGTCTCTTCTCACTGGGTTCGTATTTTCCCTTCCGAAGCTGATAGCGATGTGTTACAGCTGAAATAGTATAGGCTTGTCCTTCAATTGTTACACTCTCCCCACACTGCAGGTTCTGCTTTGAAGGGAAAAAATGAATATTATTGAAATGTTCCAACTGAATGTGGCACGTTTCTTTTTCCATTCTCACAAGGTTATGTTGGATCATATGACCCCGAAAAGAAAAGAAAGACAGGAAAAAGGTTCAGTTGGATCATGGTATGCATAATTGAATCAATTGACCGAAAATTGACAACATGACATGTGATCAATAATGTTTGTTAAACTATGAAAAAGAAAGGTCTAGTTAACCAAGGCATAAAGATTTTTAAGGCCGACAAGGGTCAACCTTGTACTTTCAAGATTAATTCCTGTCAATGTTAAAATATTTTTTTTTTTTCAATGGAAACAGTTCAATAAGTGTAGATTAGTTTTTTATTGTCAGTTTTGAGACACTGCGTAAATCATGTCCATAGACATATTAAAACAACATAAAAGTTCTGCTTTCAGAATCTACTAGTAATTTTCTACTTTCAGACTCAGAACCATAAAGGCGATGAACAATCACAGCTAGTAAACCAAACAGCAGCCTGCTTCAATTCCTCATTTCATATGGACCCATCTGCCATGTCATGTAATATAATATTTTGCCAATAAAAATTTGAGCAATAGATCTAAAATAGGCAGCAACAACAACTAGAATCCTCATACACTACAATTTCTTCATCCGTTTGCTTTGTGTGTTTAGAACTCCAACATGTGAGTTGTCTTCAACTATATGCCTGCCCGTCTCTTAGAAATGATGGCATCTTCCAACCGCATGTTCTCATATAGCATGAGACCTATATGATACACAACACTATACTTCCACTCTGCAAAGGTTAATTTTAGAAAAGCAAGTGAAGAGTTTGCAATATTCCTTCTAAAGTATCCTTTCATAGGGATATATATCCTCCAAAGCAATAAGAGTCAGCCCCCCCCTGCCGAGAAGCAAATTCTGATCCAATAAGCAGTACAAGAGCTGGCCAAATAAGCCAAACACGATAATGGTTTTCACACTTCAAAGAATATTTCCCATCACAAAAATGGGTACTTGGATGCAACATTGTTTTTGAAAGGAAAGGGAGACTCGCACTAAAGCTCTATGTCGGTAAAAAGGTTTCTTTCAGAATAGCCTTTCATATGTATCCTTGAATGTGGAAATAATCCCTTTGAGATTGAGAGATGCAAATGCCAATCCCATAAGCAGGCCGATATGATGGTTCACCATATTAAGTAACTAATAACTTTATTGATCATTTTTGCTCTTAAATTAGTAGGTTTTGCCACTAATTAGTGCTTCCCCAGTTCAAATCATTTCAGTAAGGGAACGGAGTATAACTTGAAGTTAAGCTTCAAATTGCAATTTGTCTAAATCTAAATCTTCATGACTTAGAATGCGATTCCACGTTAACAATCAGGCCTAGATATGAAATTAGCTTCCAACTCATGAGAGCCTTTCAAATGTAAGACCTATGATTTTTAAGGAAAGAATGTTATGTTTCGTTAAGTTTATAGATACTTATGGAGAACTGAAATGAGGGAACTGAAAAAGTTACAAGTTAATTCTGCCTAATGCCAAATATTTGATTCATGTTATCACCTTGATTACTTCTGTTTTTTTCCTTATAAAAAATGCTTGTTAAGAAGTTTATCTAAACTGACTCAATTCTCATTAGTTAAAACTTTAATGATGAGTTATAGATAACATATAACTGTTTACATGCCTTCAGAAATAGTTGAGATTACATTATTTTTCCTTTTGCCATTATGATATGCAAACCTTTTTAATTACAACTGTATTCACTCAAGCCATGTAATTGTCACCATATTGTTTTCATGAACTTCTCAAATTTCTTTCTGTAATACCTTCTGACACTTGTATGGGTTTAATTGATCTCTTATTCATATGAAAATCCACAGCATATATTTAATTCTACAGTGTCTCAGATTCTGGGAACATTAAGAATTATCTATAGAAAAATATTTACTCCCCTTCGACAATTTCATTCTGTTTTTGTTATCCTTCATAGCTTTTCGTTCATATCAAATGGACAAGTCTTGGAGATAACTCTGGCACCAAATAGCTTTATACTGCTGGTATATTTTAATAAAGTTGTTAGGTCCAAAAAGTTGGGTTGGCATAAAAGAAAGTGTTGTGCCAAGTAGTTATAGTAGCCTATTGAACCAAAGACAATCCTTATAAGAATAGCCAGCATTATATTGACCTATTCATTAATAGGTCAGTGGGCGCTTATATTGACCTCCAAGGCTGTCCACTGATTACATTTTAATATTCATTAGAATATTATGATTACTCATGTAAGAAGCCTTGTAATGTTGGGTTATTAGAATATTATTTGAACCATATCAATCATATAATCAGATCATATCTATATATACATATATAGAACCGGATACCATAATATTCAGGGATCTTCTGTGCTTCTCTCCTTTTCTATCTAACCCGATAACTTTATCATAGTCATATCATAGTAGTCAATCTCAATCCCAGATATCAGAGCAGAACGGTCGAATCTCGGATAGCATAATGGAGCGGTCAACCCCAAAAGTGGAATAGTGGGATTACGGATAGTGGGATGACCAATATTTTAATATTATATTTATATACTAGATAATTAATAATATATATATATAAGCTAAAAAACATAAAAATGACTCTAAATTCATGCATTAATCATTTTTAATAATAAAAGTTCATAGTACTAAAAAATAAAGTGCTAAAGTTGTTCCACTTCCAAAATAATCAATGTTCTCACCAATAGGCTTAAACTTTTCAATTGAAGAACCTATTGATGGTGTAGGACTAGGATGGGGACCAGTTCCAGCAACACCGACCCCTAAGCTCTAATCTTTATTAGTGTTTGGTTGGGTCATGGTTATGCTGATCACCAAAGCACAAAAATGCCCAAATAAAAAAAAAATGAACAGAAAAAAGAAGCAAACAGGAAAATAAAAGGAAAGAAAAAAGAAGAAAATCACAGGAATGAGAAGAGAAAAAAAAAATAGAAGAAAAACGAAAAAAGGAGAACAAAGAATAAAAGAGAGAAAAAATACGGATGATTGGAGAAGAGGAGCCAAGAAGACCAACAGAGAGAGAGTCTAAGAAGAGGAACAAAGAGCCTAAGAAAAGGAACGAGAGAGACGGAGAAGACGAGAGTCGTCCAGGGACTAGGGCTGTTTGCACTCAATAGAAAAGAAGTGACTTACAATTTGGGGAAAAATGTGTAGAGGGAGACCCAAATGAAAGGGTAGAAACACCCTTATGAGGTATTTTCTGATTTTTTAAACTATCAGTCCACGATTTCTGCCACTCCACTTTGCCGCGTTGCGCCCGCTCCAACCGCTATATGAAACCGCTCCGCTCCAAGGTCCCAGTAGCGATATTGAGCCACTCTGCTCCAACGCGCTGCAATAGCAGCCGCTATTGACTACTATGAGCCATACTATGATAAAACTCTAGTTACTCCAATTTAAAGATTCGAGACAAAAGAGCATTACTCTAAGGTCATTACTAAATTTCTACTTGGCTTCAATTCCCATAGAGTGATTCATTCTTGGTTATTGTTCATGATATGAACGCGCTTCTAAAAACTCAAGCTTGAGAAGCCCCAAATATTCAAATTTTCTCAACAGCATAAGTCTGAAAACGTCTCAATTCTCAAAAGCAGAATGTTGTTGAAGGAAATCAGGCTTAGAATAGGCAATTAATCTTGTGAATATTAAAATTACATGATTTGATTTTTATTTCCAGATTTATAGGTGATACAGCTTAATAGGAAACATATTAGGACCTCTTGTGTCAAATTAGTATATACTTGTATCTCTGCCTTTCGGTGAATCAATTCTATCATATAACAAAATCACAAATTCTTACATGGTATTAAGAGTCGTGATCTGAACATCAAACCCTATGCCAACCACCATGGCAGAAGCAAGGGGCACGGCTTTGGGTGTCACTAGGGATAATCCTAATCATCAATTATGGATGTTAAATTCAAGAGTTTAGGTAAACTTATGGAGGACCGGTATACTCAACCCGTAAACTCAAATTTAAACTCGTGAGTGTATCTCATTAAAATAATACTAAAATTTTAACTTCATGCATACCATATAATATAAATAACAAAATATCATTCAGACTATAAGTAAAAAATTACCCCAAAAAAATTAAATAAACAAAAAAGTAAAATAAACCATAATTCCATAAGATGCCAGGAACATGGTATCAATTTTAACACAAGCGCAAAAAGATAGGGAACGTCATGGTGAAGTGTTCACACTTTGTCAAGAACAAAAGACAGGGTCGCATGGCAATCTCAAACAACAGTAGTATATTAGATGGGTCACTCGACCACCGGGAACTGGTAGATCCGAAACCCTTTTGACGTTCTCAACAACCGAAGAACCTTCTCATTATCAGTCGAAGGGATCATTATCTTTACTCCTTTCGGCATCACTAGTGACCGAAAGGGTTCCCAACTAACAAGCTCAAGCCTTCAGAATGCTCGATTACCGAAGGGTACACAACTCCAAGCCACTCAGCACCTTCGGTGGCCGTAAGCTCTATGCAAGTGAAGCTTGCCTCTATCGGCTAATTTAAATTATGATGACTAAGATGATTAAAGACATAATCATCGGTTCAAAATCAATTATCAATGTATTACCTAACTAAACGTTAACCTGTGGCCCATTGAGATTTGGGCCATTGCGATTTGTATAAATAGTGTCTATCTCGAGGTAAAAGCCACTATTCATGATTGGCATCTAATACATTGAGCAAATAACTTACTTGAGCGTCAGGTGTCTTTTGCAGGTGCACCCCCCTCAGTGTGTTCAAGCAACTGGATTGAAGAGTTTAGAGAAGCGAAGGCATCAGCAAGACAAGAAGACAGGTATCTCCATGTAGGTACATTTTCGGCATGGACAAGCAACCGGATTGGAGAGTGAAGAAGAGCAAAGGCATCAACGAGACAAGAAGACAAGTATCTTAGCGAAGCTACAAGCAGCAAGGGG